GGAGGGAGGGAGGGAAAACTTTGCCCGTTGTCCTTGATTATTTTTCTGTCATTAGCTCTCCTGGGATGCTTTTCATATCCTTTAGTCCTTTCAAGCTAGAAATCTTTCTCTCACTTTAAGGCTTCACTCCCTTCTTCCCTTAATCTCAAATTGTCAGGGATGCTGTTTGAGAGATGTCCCAACATCTGACCCTCAGTATTGAGTTCTATACCAGGTTATTGCATCTCAGTGGCCCTGGGCTTTGGCTGCTCCTTCTGAATGCCAGGTCAATTTGTAATCAGTCTGGCCTCATTCATAATCTGATTGTGGATAAGGTGGCCAATCTGGCATGTATGTCTGAGACCTGGGTGGGCCCTCTCAGAAATATGCTTACCTGGGTTTTGGGTTCTGCACCAGCCAAGAGCCCAGGGGAAGAGGGTGGGGTAGCACTTATCAACCGGAAGGCATTGAGAGCTCTCAGAGACTGCTCTGCAGATAACCAGATGTGAGACTCTCTGGTTGAGGTTGGGCCATAGAAAACAGTTGGGATTGCTGCTGTTCTACCGCCCTTCTTGCTCCAAACCATCATCCCTCCCTGAACTGCTGGATTTCAATGCCAGGAAGCTATAGAGCAGTGTTTCTCAACCTTAGCAACTTTAAGATGTCTGAACTTCAACTCCCAGAATTCCCTAGCCAGCATGAGTTGAAGTCCACACATCTTAAAGTTGCCAAGGTTGAGAAACACTACTATACAGGCTTTTAGTCCTTGAAGATTTAATTTGTCAAAAGGGATGTTGAGTCTGGGGCAGCACAGGAATTCATGCCTCCTTGGCAACCATAGACCTGTTCCAGGTCATCCAAAACTCAATGTATACATACATTCAGACTTGATCTCTCTTTTGGTTAAGCCTTGTTTGGGTCAAGCAAAAGTCCCTGAGCCTGCATGTATGTGTTTTTGCATCCACACCGTTCAATATGTTTTCCAAACTCTTAGTTTTGTTTGTCCTTCTCCACTCTGTGGGTGGCTTTCCCCTCTCATCAGAAGGTCCTAATACAGATTTCCTTGCCAGCTCCCCATGATTTGGGAAGAACCTCTTCATCTCATCCCATGATGAGGTTACTTATTTCCCCTTGTTTACCTACACAACCTTCCCTCTGTTCTTTCTCCGGCTGGGCACTTAGATTCTAAGCACCTAAGCTATTTCCTTGCTCCTTATGGCAAACCTCCCCACCAGGTTGCATCAGCTTTACTTGTTTCCCCAACCTTACAGCACCCCCCTGGATCACAATCCCCCTAATGAATGAATGGTAAAGTTCAATTATTTATTTATTAGATTTAGAGGCTGCCAAACTCTGTAAGACTCCATGCAGCTTACAAACATTAAAATATAATACAGTAGTAAAACAGAGCACAAGCCATGTGCATCCAGAAAAGGCCATTTATCAGACATCAAATCCTAAATGAGATGAACACCCATTCTTACACAAGACCCAAGGAAACAACTAGGTTTTCAAAGATTTCCTGAACATCATCAGGGTAGGAGCCATGGAAATCTCTGGAGGGATGCTATAATAATAACAAATGGGGAAATTATAATGATAATTCTACATAACAGTATTATGTGGCTATAATTTGCAATTAATCAGGGTAAAACATTGTTCAGGAATATAACAACAGCCTGAAAAAAAGTTGGGCAGAGAATGGAACTAGGGGTGGGCCAAGGGAGAGGTCAATTGGGCATACAGATGCTGAAGGAACCATGTTTGGGGCCTCAGCTTCATTTGCTTGATGGTCTGAGTGTGAACAATTACTTTTGGAAAAGAGCGATTATAGTGCATGCAAATGACCAGGCTCAATTTATCCTACTGTGGACACATTATGGGAAGACCCAGCTCTCTCCCACCGGACGCACCATTTCCAGGGTTAGGATGCAGCGCAGGCGCTCGAGAATCCTGGGAAGGGCTAGGAAGGCTCCCCTTCGCATTATCGAGGGTG